GTTTTTTCAATGGACTTAAATTCTTCTGTTTGACCTGAAGTCCTGAGGAATCTGGGTAGTTAAGAGCAGAGGACCTAGGCATGTTCTCACTACTGACCTGGAGCCTACCTGCTGTACTATCATCCCTCAAACTCTGGTCAGTGTTACCAGATGGTTTACTACCAGAAACACACAGGACCTTAGTTGCACCTTCCTTTCGAGTCTCTGGTTGGGTCCCTCTTGTCGCATCTGCTGATGGATGCTGCTCCGTACCCACGTCATTTTGGTTATATGACCGAAAGGCAGTCATTTTAAATGGAAGAGTATTCAAGTTTTCTTTGGGAACAGCCAAGGGCACTGGTTTTGGTCCAGCTGGATTGGGCAGAAGCAGCAGCTTGTAGGCCCCGTCTCCTGGCTTATTTGCCGTGTGTTTGACAGAATCCTCAGCCTTCTGCATGATCTGAGATTTAGGTACATTCTTCAGGAGAACCCTTATGAACTTGTTGCTAAGGACACTAACCCCACTGTCAGACTTTCCTCCTCCTCCTACTTTCCCTACAAGTGTCCCTCCTCCCATGACTTTTCTTATGCCGATCCCTGTTCCTACCCCATCAGGTCCAACTCCTCCTACTTTAACTTTCTTCCCCCCAACTCCTAAACTTAGTATTTCTACCTTCTGTCCCATTCCCCTCCCTTTTCCTCGTCCTTCCCCACTTCCTATTCTAACTCCTGCTATTCCCTCCCCTCTTCCTAATCCTACTCTTACAACTGCTCCTCCTTCCCCTTTCCCAAATCCTTCCCCTACTCCTGCTCCAGCTCCTGCTCCTTCTCTTTTTCCTATTCCAGTTCTAACACATCTTTCTTTTTCCCCCTTTCCTATTCCTCCTTCCCTTCTTAATCGTTCTAAACTTTCTTCACTTACTCCTAATCCTATATCTTCTTTTTCTATTTTTCCTCCCCCTTCCCATTTTTCTACATTCACTTTTACACCAACTCCTCCTCCATCTTTTCCTTTTCTTTTTCTTTTTATTCCTTTTCTTCCTTGCTCTTTCCCTATGTCTCCTCTTCCTATTCCTGATGATTTTACTAACTCTGCATCTTCTCCTCTTACTGTACCTACTCTTTCTCCATCTTGCTTTCCATTATCTTTAACTATGTTTCCATTTCTAGTATCCTACACATTCTATCTCCTCTACCTCCACCATCTTCACTTCACATTATCTCCTCCAACTCCATCTTCACCTCCCACTTCTTCCTTTACCGGTTTCAGCAAGACTTTACAGGTCTGCCCTCCAAATGAGCTCAGCTGAATGGAAGAATTGCACATCTTAACAGACACACTATTCTGTTTCGGTAAAGAGTCGCTCAACTTTCGGAAAAGACCATTCACTTTGGGGGAGGGAGCACTCAGTGGAGAAAGGCATTCCATCCAGGGCCAGAATCACTAGTTCTGCAGAAGGATCATGATATTTGGGGAAGGGATGCAGTGTGGAGGTAATCTATATCCATGGAAGAATCACTTGGGTGTAGAGAGAGATTCAGCTGGGCGGAAATCACTCTGGAGACAGAATATCCACATCCAGGGAGGAACCATTTGACTCTGGAGAAGGACCTCTGACATCCTGAGAAGAATCACTTGGAAGAAAGGACATTCAAATCCATGGGAAATGCCTCCAGTGGAAGACCATTCAGTTTAGAATCTCTTGAGGTTTTTGAAGAAAGACCATTTTGTTTGAGAGATTTATCAAATTTTGTAGAAAGCCCCTTGAACTCTGGGGAAGAATCGTCTGTTTTCAACCTAGAGAGAACACTGTCTAACGAATCTGGAATAATGTACTCCCGCTGAGCTTTGGATGAGAGTTCTTGGAGGGATGAAGGCCTGATGATAATCTTACTGCCTGGCAGAGATTCTGTCTCCCCAAGAGATGTTTTTGTGTCCTGTGTTTGCAATGTCTTCTGCTTTTCAAAAGCTGCAATCTTTTTTGCCTTTTTGTGAATGTTCTCAGCTTCAACTTTGATGGCGTCTTTTTTCATGATGTTTGCCTTGTTATTTAACAAATCCTCTTCAGTTCATCACATGACTCCTCTGACACATACTCCTCTATATATTAGGTATCCTCCTCATCCTCATCTTCATCTTCAAGCCCAGGGACCACAACTTTAACTTCGTGGCTATCCTTATTTTCCACACTTTTGGTGGGGTCCCCAACAATGCCCGTAGTCCAGTAGCCAATGCGTATCTTCCTGAGCTCGGGATGACGCCTCAGGAAGGCTTGGAGCCAGCCAGATGTTGGCTTGTTATTATTCTTGAACACTTTAAGCCCTCGCTCATTCAGCACTTCCTGAACTGTCCTGGCTATGGTCTGCCAGGCCTGTGTGCCCTCCTTTGAACTCATCTCTAGGATCCACTTTTTGATGGCCTCCTCCTCCTCATACGGTACGAGGGTTCCCTTACCTGTCATTTTCTTGGCGAGGGGGTGAGGGGACTTGAGTCTGGCAGAGAGTGTGGATCGGGGGATAC